GTTAATTTTTGAAAATTGGATCTCAAATAATGATTTGTATAAGAATTTTTTTCCTGAGTTGGGAAACAAGCATTTTCTGGCAGATAATAATTTTGTTGTTTTATTTATTTGATGATTCAGAATGAAACTATTGTTGGATCTATAAATAATAAATTTATAGAACAATTTGAAGAAAAAATTGTTGAGGGTAACATTTTATTGGTTACTGGTTTTGAAGTTTGGAAAACACATGAAAGCTATAGAATTTCGAATCATCGTTTCCAGTTACGTATAAATGACCAATCAACCGTGGAAATTATAAATGATTTAGTGGTATCAATAAATTTTGAGAAATTCCAGTTTCTTAATTATGATGAGTTTCAGTTGTTAGCCAATACCAATAAACAATTTAACGGTTAGTAATAATAAAAAATAAATTAGTTTAATAATACAAAGTTTAAATTTAAGGGATGATTTTTTACTGATATATTTTATATTAGATGTACTTGGTGTTATAGAAGAAGGGGGACTCTTGACCGTGGAAGATGTTGATATGAATTCAAAAATAGTTATAGACGTAATCATTGAATGGTAATAATTGTAATGATAATTAATTTTTTTAATTTGATATTTACGATCACTGAATTCTGAATATTTAAATATTGTCACCATAGTGGGAGTAAAGTACGAGTAACTATTTGGGGTGAACAAGTTACGAATTTTAAAAATGCAATTGGCAAAAAAAATCCGAAAGGTTTAGTGATTATTATAACAAGTGTCAATCGAAATTATATTCAGGTAATTTGTAAATATTTTATGTAAATTAGGTGGATATTTTTTTTATATATATATATTGTAATATAAATATTATAACTTTTTAATAATAACATTGTAGGTTATTTATATTTGAATACAACATCTGCTTCAAAGATTTTATTTGATGACCCAATTAATGCAATTAATGATTTCAAGGAAAGGTAAATAGATTGCTAAAAATTATTTTTTTATCAGCTTCTTATTAAAATTTAATTGTATGTGATAAAATTTTAATACTCCATTTTTTTTCTTAGGACACTCCCTAAAATAGAAGGCAATATCTTAAATGGAAAAGATTCTGTTAATTTAAGTCAACATACTTTTATCAAAATTTCCAATCTTCTCAATATCCTTTCCGAAGAATTTGAGGAGGTATATAAATATATTTATTGCTCTTAATCTATTATTGCTCTTCATGTTTATAAAAAATACTAATTGATTAATTACTTACAAAAACTTCTTGTGAAATGTAATTTATTATAGGATAAAGTATTTAGAGTCCAGGGTAAAATAATTGAAATATGTTCTAAAAGTGGATTGAACTACATTTCGTGTGGTAAAATAATTGAAATATGTTCTAAAAGTGGATTGAACTACATTTCGTGTGATAAGTGCAAGAAAAAACTTAAAAAAATGAGAGACACTTGTATGTGATAACTGTTCCCATGAAGATATAACTGGATCATTGAAGTATCAAGTAGAGTTAGTTGTTGATGATGGATCAGATACAGCATCCTTTATAATTTTCAACAAAGATTTATCGAAGATTATAAAAAAAAACACCAACTGAGTTGGTTGAACACATTGTACGTTTTAGTATGTTATAAAATATTCTTTTTTCTTTCTTTTTTTTCTAATATATAGAATCATTGAAATGTATAGGAAAGTAACAATGATAATGATACAAAAGACAATGGTGTAATGTCTTTTCTAAATAAGAATTTGGTTGGTGTTGAATATAAATTTACAATTAAAATCAATTCATATAACTTCAGGTCCACATCCGCTGGTATTACGATCCTTGAGACCAATAAATTAACCAGTGCTACGGAAATGTAATTGCTTAATATATTTTGTACAAAGAAGTTCATTAATATTATTTTTTAAGCGTAAACCCCTATTATTTACCAAACATATGTTTATATGTAGGATGACATTAATTTGAGTGATAGTAATATTATTGATAAATGTGAGGGAGGGAGGAGTGAAAACCACACCGTGAGGAAGAGGAAGACGGAGAATATGTATGATAAAAACATCAAATCTTCTAACTTGATTAAAGATTTGATTAAAAAATCTGGGAAAAATAATCTGAAGACAAAGGAAAGTAAAACAAAGAAAAGAATGTTAGTCAATGATTATCGGCGAAGAAGAAATAGAAAGATTAAAGTAGATGACACATATATATGGAAATGAACTTTTTTGTGTTTAAAACCCATTTTGTTATTGACATTTTTTATAAATATATATTATGTTGCTAATTTGACAAATCAACGCCTTCGTTTCTTATGTAAACTGATAAACCGAAGTCACTGTTGACGGGGTTTTTGTAGAATATTTGGTTTTTGGTTTAGAAGTTATTATCCTGAAATAAGAAAAACAGATTGTGTCATTCCTTATGTAACTAAAACAATAGCGTCTGGTTGTGTATATGATATTAATAAAACAATACATTAATTGTGGTTTTAATACTCAAAATGTAGGGGAATCTTGACGTGTTATTCACCGGAACCCAAACCGCGATGTTGTACTTCCACGGTATCGAGACATCACGGAGGATAACTTTGGTGTAAGAATCACATTTTTCTTATTTAGGAGATGATAGGAGAGAAAATAAATGATAGCATGTTTTTTTTCTAAACGAAGCTTGAGGTGAAGAAAGGAGAGAAACTAAATGATTTTAAGTTTTTTTTTTGAAATGAAGCTTGAGGAGAAGTAAGGAACGAAACTAAATCATTGCAACGTTTTTTTGTAAACGTAGCGCCTGTTTTTTTTTTATCAGCACTGAAGATATTTCCTCAATTGTTTAATCATCTTATGGTTTTTTATTGATGAGAATAAACGAGACCAAAAATGATCGGACGGTCTTTTTTCAGGAAACGATGCAAGTGTTTTCTTGTTTTGATTATGAAAGATTTTTCCTAATTTGTTTAATCATCCTCAGTTTTTTAATCACATACATTCTAAGCAAATACGGAATGTGTATTACTCGTGGAAAGGTTGTATGATGCCTTTACACAGGAAGAGGCATAACTGAATGTTTGTGATGTTTGAGAAATAACTGTCTAAAAGACACCTGTTCAATACACATGTCGTTTGAGTTGTTAAAGTTGTATGTTTGTGTCATTTATAAATTGAGGACCATTATCTTCATTTACGAGTAACTCTCCCGTGAATACACTTGGGCAACAGAAAAACTACATTTGGAAAATTAAGATGGATATCACTCCAGGTAATTTCCTAAATACTTTTAAAAATTAAATTTTAAAAGTGGAAAATGAAATTTTCAATTGTCATATTTATTTCAAAATTCATATTCTTTCCAGCAATTGTTTTTCTTTGATAATAATTGCAATAATTGATAAGCAAAAAATAATCTGTCACACCTATTTTATGTAAACATACTCCTTTAGCCTTTATCTTCTATAGGCACTTTGATTTGACTAGAATATGAATCCTAACTAAGACATTACTTCATTAGGATTTGCTCAACGCCAATCTAGGTTCTGTAGACAACTAATACCCAAAAAATTTCCAATCAAACTTTGCTTAGTTTCAAGAGAGAAACCCTAGCAGTCAAGAGAGAAAAAAAAGAAAGATTTTTTAGTTTCAAGCCGATGGCCGGAGGCTTCTATAGCTCCGACATCGGCTTGTTTAATTTTTCTTATTTCTATTTCTTTGATTTGTTATGGTCTTCTAGTTTGTTTGATTGCCAATTTATTTTGAATCTGGCAAAATTTTGGATTGTTCTTCTGTATGGTTTTTCCAATGGATTTGGAATGGAAAAAACTTCGGTTCAATTGAATCGTTTAGAAAAGGTAATTGATAGATCTACTGCGGATGGTGGCGACGGGTCTTACCGGCTTCAATCGTTGATGGTTCTTCACTTGATGGTGATGGTTTTTTTGCTGCAAACTATGGTTACATCGAAAGACAGCATGAAATTCTATGGAACGGTAATCTCTTTGGCTCTGTTATTATCAATAGAGCAATATAAAGAGTTGTCTTCTCTCGTTGGCTCCTACTGGAGTAATAAAAAGAGAGTAACAATCGTTCTCAACTAAGTCTGAAGCGTGGTGTTTCTGGATTAATATGAAGATTATCTCCTACGAGATTCAACTATTTCAGAAGCAAATATGAAGCTTTCACATGGAAATTTTTAGTCATCCATACACTAATAGATGTGTTAGTTTACTTTGGATCCCTACTGGTGTATCCCTTTTCTATATTGTTTTTGCCAATTTTCATTGTGTAAAACTATTTGCCTAAATGGCTTAATAATACAATTCAGCGTTAAAAAAAAAAAAAAAACTAAGACATTACTTTACAGGATGGTTTTAGTCATACCCTCAGATAAGTGTATTAGATATATGGCGGCAACAAGGGGTGTCAAAAAAAGGGAGTCATATAAATTGTCATAAATTTACGTAAACCCAACATTTGACATTAAACTAATACACGTATGTAATTAAACTATCGTGTAAAGGAATTGTGTGTAACTTTTTGTCTTTCAATCTACTTAGAATATAAGGACAAGATCTTAAATTAAGTGGCGGTGGGGTTCGTACTGGAAAATATTAAATTCGCACCTTTTGAAAATAGTGTGATTGTAACGTCATAATACGTGGAAATATTAAGACCACTGTGGAAAAAGTAAATTTTAATTACATTATAAAAACAACGTAAACTTGAAGATAAATTTTAATCTATAACTGCCACATTCCAATATGAATATGATTAACATCGGTTGTTTGCAATAACTGAACATTTATTTTGTCAAGTATATATATATAAACTTCCAGAAGCCTATAGTTGCAACGTTTCAGAGAGACATGACTCTCCACACCGAACAGTTGTGTCTTTTTACAAAAACAATCGATCCAGATATAAACGCCCTCAAATTTGTAAGAACCCTTTCAAAACAGACGTGCTTATTTTGTTTGTATTTTACTACCCTAAAATTAGATAAACTACCTAAACATAGGATGAGTAATTGTTTATGGTTCTCGACTTTAGATGGAGTTAATTATTCTATCGACGCTACAAGTAGAAGAATTCCCAACGTAAGTTTAAAAGGTTTGATCACTGTTGAAGCAGAAATTATAGGTACGGAATTGGAGTTCGAAAGATTATTTTACACATTTACTATCAAAGAGTTCATTGAAGAAGAAAAAAATGCTCTAAAAGAAGATTTATATTATTCTTTAGTGATCGCGGGGTTGGCATCAGAAGACGCAGATATGCTAATAAGTAATATGATAATGGTTGCTGAGAATATAGTCTTCGCTGGGGATTATAGTCGGGATAATACGCTTGTTATTTTCGTAAGTGCACTTGAATCTCTCAACAATTTGAACTATAACATACAACTACAGCAAACAATTCAAGAGTCTATCAACGATGTACCACCAGTAATGAAGCCTACAAGTGAAAGTGCAATTGCTTCTTTGGAAGTAAACGTCGTGAAAGATGATGACAACCTTTCAGAAGACAAATGTGTTATTTGTTTGAGAAATTTTTTCTCAGGATCAGAAATTTTGGTTCTAAGTTGTGGCTAAATTTGGAAGAAATTGTTTATTAATGTGGCTTCGTTTACAGAATACATGTCCCATTTGTCGACAAGAAGTACTATAGTTTATAAGATTAAGATATTGTGTTGTTTGTGTTAATAAAAGGTTCATTTATTATTGTTCTCTCTTTTCATTACTCAAGAACGAGAAGGGTAAATTAAATAATAACATATGCGAAGTAGTATGTATATCTTAATAAATTCCGCACTAACTTTTCATTTGAAAACAGCTCATATAAAAACCTTTTCCAATTCAAAAAACACAACTACATATATTACGATATAAGTCACCACTTTCATATTATTTGTTGATCAAATATACAAGTATACTACTGATACACACCTCATCTACCTTACCACCAAAAAATCAAAATAGACACATCCTTTTCAAATTCTTTTATATTATTTATTTCGTATTAAACTATTTAAAAGAACTTGTACGCATATTAAAGTTAATATAAGAAATTTACTAAACAAATTTTTTATTATATGATAATAAAATATTTTCAGATGTTCTAGAAAAGTATTTCATACTTCATTCATTTAGAACTTAATAACCATGTTTCCATCTCTTTGTTAAAAACCGAGTTTCTGCGCGATATCGCGCGTGTTCATTTCCTAGTGTAAATAATAAGAAAAAAATTATAAATTAAATTTGGTACGTTGAATATGTTTGTGAAAGTTTGATAATACGTCTTAAATTAACCTATGATTATCGAATCAGTTCTGGTATAGACAAAATTATTGGGATGAATGACTTTTAATTTTTTTTTAAATGACTTTTTAAAATTTATTTGCCTGGTTTAATCGGAACCACGCCAGTTTCCTTAACTCACCACTGACCAGTCCAAGCTTATAGGATTATCATCCGGTTCAATCAATTTTGGTTTACTTGTTCGGTTTAGCAAACACTTATGTCGGGATTTAATAAACCAAACAATCAATTTATCTTCTTCCTTGCTCCGGTTCATTCTCTCTTCTATCTCTATCTCTCTGTATTTCTCGTCTCCTTTCTTCCTCTATCCTCTACATCTTCTATCACCTCTCTCTTTGATCATCCTTGATCTTCTTCTTCCATCTCTCCACTAACAGAAAGGAACAAAGCCAAATCTAGAGGATGATCAGATCTTGGCTCAAGAGATCTGCTCATCGGAATCTCCACTGGAAGCAATGCAACCCTCCAACTTCTCCGGGACGAAGACGAGCTTTCTCCACCGCCACTCACAGAAACTCCCTTCACGATCTAAACCTAGACGACACGATCACTCTCTTCAAAACCAGGATCCGATCTCACCCCCTCCCTTCAATAACCGACCTCAGCAAACTACTAACCTCAATCGCCAAAATGAAGAAATTCGACGTCGTCATCTCCCTCTGCCAAGAGATGGAGCGTCTCGGAATCCCACACAACATCTACACCTGCAACATCCTCATCAACTCCTTCACCCGATCCTCTCACCTCTTCCTCGCTCTATCCTTCCTCGGAAAGATGCTCAAGCTCGGCTACGCCCCCGACATCGTCACGCTCGGCTCGCTCCTCAACGGGTTCGAGGTTGTCTCCGACGCGACGTCGTTTGTGAAACGAATTGAGGAGATGGGATACAAACCGAATGTCGTTATATACAACACTCTCATTGATGGCTATTGTAGAAGCGGACGTGTGGACGATGCACTCGAAGTGTTCGACGAAATGCCGAGGAAGAGTGTTGTTACTTACAATGCTATGATTAGGGGTCTTTGTAAGTTTGGGAGACGGAGTGAAGCTGATGAGTTGGTTAGTGATATGATTGACAAGAGAATAGATCCCAATGTGGTTACTTTCGGTGTGTTGATTGACGCGTGTGTGAAAGAAGGGAATGTTTCTGAGGCGAAAGAGTTGTATAAGGAGATGATACGTATGTCTGTAAAACCTGATATTCGTATTTACAATTCACTCATCAATGGTCTTTGCATCGACGGTAGGTTAGACGAGGCGAGGAAGATGTTTGACTTCATGGTGAGCAAGGGCTGCGTCCCGAACGTTGTGACGTACAACACTCTCATTAAAGGGTTTTGCAAGTCCAAGAGAGCGCATGATGGGATGAAACTCTTCTGTGAGATGACTCACAAGGGACTACGTGGAGACACGTTCACTTACAACACTCTTATCCATGGGTACTGTCAAGTGGGGAAGTTTAGTGTCGCACAAAAGGTTATGAAGAGGATGTCTGAGTCTTGTGTGCCTCGTGATGTCATTACCTTCAACATTTTGTTATATTGTTTGTGTGATATTGGGAAGGTAGAGAGAGCGTTGACGATATTCAGGGATATGGCAAAGAGTGAGATGGAGTTTGATATATTTACGTATAATATCATCATTCATGGGATGTATAAGGCTGGTAAGGTGGAAGATGCTATGGAATTATTTTCTAGTCTCGACCTTAGAGGAGTGAAGCCTGATGTTGTAACATACAGGACAATGATCTCGGGGCTGTGTAGGAAAGGTCTACGACATGAAGCAGATGTGCTGTATAGACAAATGACAGAAGATGAGTTTCTGCAGTTGTACCATTTATAGGAATCCTTGTATTCATTTCTATAACCTTTTTGAATATAGGAAGATACAGAGACTGATAAAGGAACAAGCTGTTAGTGATCCCTTACTCCAATTTTGCTGATGTATACTTCACAAGTTTTATTATTTTTTATACAGAGAAGGATTGTTTTCGTCTAACTTCTGATTGTTTAGTACAGTTTTTAGCTCAAGTGTTTATAGTCTACTTGGTCTTGGTATAGTTTTCAGATATCATTACAAAGGCAATTAGAATTTGATGATCCTCAAAGGTGCAGAAAACTGGACTCACTTTTTGTTGTTACAAATGTTTTGTTTTGGATTCTTGATGGAAATAGTTTTTGTATTTATAATTTCTTGCAGAGAGGAGGATGAATGCTAGAATGATTCTTGAGAAAATGTCACAGGGTCAGGATTTGATGTCACATTTGTGACTTGGTAATGCAGATTAGCCTCATACAAGCGGTTCACATGAGGTATTTGGATTCTTTAGTTGCTTTTGTTTGGTGTATGCAAGAGAGTTGGATCTTCACTGACTTCTGCTTGTCTTATAGGAAGGGCCCTTTGGTAAAGCTGCACGGTTTGCGAAACTGAGAAGAAGAGCATCGACTGAATCTGATAGTACCATGTCAAGCACTGCAAGTGTCTTTGAGCAAACTACTCCTGAATAACAGGCTGCAGTTTGAAGGAAGAGATCCATGGCTTCTCTTAGAGGAACTTGATTATGAGAAGGATTGTAATTTTAACATCCGGTTACAGCTCCAGAAGACTCAGTGCTGTTGATTCTCGCTGTTCAAGATCTTGAAGCAGTGCTGGAGGAAAGGAGTGGGATCAAGAACCTGTGATAACATGGAAGGAAGATTCAAGAAGAAGGTCTTGTAGAAGTGATCAAAAGGCACTTGAGGACTCGTAAAGGGACACATGGATGTGAAAGACACACACGTCTTGGAGCAGCAGACCTCTACAATGAGATTGAGGTCTATAAATGGGATACAGGTGGAACAGCTTGTTTTGGACTGTGAGATACTGAAACAGGAGAATCATGATATCTTATACTAGCTAGAGCAGAGCCAACTGCAAGAATAGTTGAAGATGCAATATGAATGTTCATCTACTCTTGTGGATGTGACCGAGCTTGAAAACCAAGTGGAGAGCCTTGAATCTGAGCTCAAAAAGCAGTCTGAGGAATCTTTGTCCCGGTTCAAAGAAACTGAAACACAAATGGAAGAAGAGATGGAGAAACTGGCTCAAGTTTGATATCGATGCGTTCAAGAGTCTCTCTGAGCAGATGGATTCAATGTTTGCATCAAATGAGAAAGTTGTTATTGGCAGAAGCTAATGAATCAAGAATGCAGAAACGTGAACTAGAATAGATGCTCAAGAACGCTAACGAGAAAACCAAGCTGAGCATGAGGCAAAGCTCCAAAACTTTTTATTTATACAATGCGACATTATTTCAAATCCTGTAAGTTAAATTTGGTTAAGTCTGATCAATTAAATGGTTTGATCCGGTTAAGTGAATTAACCCTTACACCACATGCATGTGTTTGAACATAACCACACCAAGATGACAAGATACATTTTCAATGATGAATTGACGATTGAAGCAGTATTGAGGTTTTGTTCCATTGAGATTTGATATACCAAAGACTTTGCTAGACCCATTTATTAATCAGTTTTCATAGAACCAAACTAAAACTTTATAAATCAAACCAAGATCCACATGGATATAGCCTTACGCAATGATTAGAGATGATGTTACATATAAAAAGACCAACGTCTCCACCTTGAGAGTTAATCTACTACCAAAGCAGTTAAGAGCAGTTAAGAGGTGAGATTACCTTCAATCATGGCAGTGCCTACATAGAAGCTAATAAAACATACTCCCTCTGTTTTGAATTAATTGTCAGAAAAAATTTAGTTTCAAAATAAGTGTCGGTTTGAAGTTTTGAAGCAAAATTTATTAGCTTTATATGATATTCTATTTTTCTATTGGTTAAAAAATGGTTAGATGTATAGGTAATTGTGTTTTTATCTTGAAAATATGTAAAATTAAATGTTTCCTTAATTTGTGTGTAAAACCCTAAAATAATACAAAAGTGAAACTTTGGTAATGATATATATTTTTATAGGACCAAAAATATTTATTTTACACATCCAAAAATATCGTTTGATCTTTTATAGCAAACGTTTGCTGCTTCAACAAAATTTGCGGCTTACAGTGTCATAGCTTAGAACAGACAACAGTGCCAAACAAATAAAAGAACCAGACACGATATTAACGACACAAGATCATTGTTGTTATATAACTTACTGTAAGTGAAAAATGACATATGAAACTTGCAAGTTAAAAGAGACATGTTTATAACCCTCTGCGAAGGAACCCATTGTCAAAGGCTTTGAAATAATCTTGCTGGTGAAATCTGTAATGTCCTTCAACGTAAGTCCGTCTACTGTCTTCAAGAATTGCTCAGTCACAAAAATCATAATTTTTGTTCACCATGTCTTATCCCATCCAAATCCACACCTTTTAGAAATTAGCATATTTGATCTGTGGTTTTTCGCCAAAGTCACAAAAATTGTACTCTTTTTCTTTTCAGTAAACCGCAAAAACAATTTTTTTCATCAAAACCGTAAAACTCGTTTTCCTAAAATATCGCCAAAATGAGATTTTTGTTAAAACCGCAAAATTTTATTTCCTATCAAACCTCGAAACAAAATTTTCCACAATTGATTTTTCCTTCTAAAATCAAAATTTTGTCATTCTGTGGAAATATGAGTTTTATCGCCAAAAATTCTAAGTAAAATAAATTTCTATAAACCCACAAAATTGAGTTTTCTTATTAAAATCACAAATGATTTTTTTTCCAAAACCATAAAGTTATGTTTTCGCCATATGATCAAAATTGACCCATGTCCAACTGAACATGCGTATTTAAGGCAGACAGTCCAATTGACGCCTCTACATACATGATGTCTTGTAATTACGGCAGTGTGTAATGTCTTCAGTATTTGCAAATTGACACTAAAACAGATTTTGAATTATATCCTTTTAGGAAGAGAAAAATGTTTTGTGAATAATGAGGTACAGAAGACAATTATGAGATAAAAGGAAGCGCACATAGTTGTGTTGAGAGGAAGAAGAGAACTCCCACATCCAATTCTATAATAGAGATGTAACTACTGACTACGGTAAACACAGTTCGAAACCTTCCTCTTGAACTGAAAAGAAAAAGAAAAAACAAATTTCGTTTTGTAATTGGTCTCTTCAAAAAACATTGGCCCTGCATGGTGTTATTTCACGTTAGTGAAGGGAAGCCATTTCAGACTGTATCTACAAAGACATTCGACGTCTCCAATTTGAATCTGACTCCTTCCAGCTGATCAACGCTCTCAAATCAGAGAGCCCGATAGCAGAACTTTACGGAACTATAGCTGATATTTGTTGAATGCTCTCTACTCTCCCGTCTTTAATTAAGAAACATCATACACGTAGTACACATAGTTGGAGAGAATGAAACAAGTGAATCATCATGGTGTATGGATATGTTATACTCTCTCTCTCTGTTTCTAAAAATAAAAAAAGCTTTTACAAAATTATGTTTCAAAAAGATATATATGTTTCACATTTTATATGCAATGTTTATTAGTTTATGACAGATTATAAATCTCAAAGAAGTATTTTACTTAAATTCAAATACTATTAGTTTAAACTACCATTTTTTGTCACCAGTCTAAATTATAATCAACTTTTAATATATTTTCTTAATATGTGTAAAATATTATAATAAAGAGAGTATATAACTAATTTGAGTTATAAAGAGTGTGTGGGTTTACAATACAATTAAAGGGTTTCTTTTAGTCTACTCAGACTACATAAATTGTGATGCTGCTCACGTTTATTAGCCTGCGGTGATCCGATTGGTTAAATCATGTTATCACTCTCGAAGCTATGACCCTTCTCTGAGTTTCTGCTTGCAGGTCTAACAGGTCGTAATTTCTTTCATGTTTCTGCACACTGTCCACAAGAGCTACTTTGTCTCTTTTGGGGTGATCTATACGAGTTTGGTACTTTTGATGTTTTTAATGCTTTTGTTCTTGCATTTTTTTTCCTGGGTGTTTTACCCACAAACTGTTTGTTATTTTATACTTCTGGACCAGTTCAGATGAATGAATTCAGTGTTAAAAAAAAAGACTGCATAAATTGTGAAGTACTGATCAAATACGCTAATTTCTAAAAGATGTGGATTTGGATAGGAGAAGACATGGTAAATTATCCATATTTAATTTACAATATAACACAACTCCATAACCATATGAGGAGGACACTCACAATCAAAAACAAAAGCCACGGTGTCCAAGTTCTTAAGACCATACAAGATCTATCACAAACGATCCTCAGTGGTCTTGTTGATTTATAAGGACAAGTACACTTGCTTTGAATAATTAAGAGAAGCAAAAATAGCGTTCCGCTCCCAGAGGAATTAGGATTCGAGTTGTATGGGAATTAATAATAGGTAGCAAAAGACTTGCATTTTAACTTTATCAAATATCATGAAAACTTGGATAACAATGCATAAACTAGTGTGACAATAACAAGTTACTTCATTGGTGCTTTCCATGTGCCTACCCCCAAAGAACGTCGTTGGATTTGAACCAAAGTAGGATCATACCAGCCAGGAAGTGAGGATTCAGATCTTATATCATGATGGTCTACTTGAATGTATTTATCCGTTCCCATAATGTGTAAGCAGTTACTAAAGTTCTTATATTTAGTTGGACACACTAAAACTTTATTCTCAAGGTCGGCCAAGAAACTCACCCCATTACAAAGCGGAAGGGTTCGCTTCACTGTTAGGAGCTTACTCCATGACATGTCTCCAGTAATTTTAATCTTAGTTGCCATCCATATATCAATATCGTGTCTCTCGTCACGATAAGTTAACAGACAAAGTTTTTGCTCTTCTCTAGTCACTGATAAAGCATAAACATAATAAGAACGAGGATCAACCGGAAGAGGCACACATCCAAACCTCTCTGTTGTAAAATCAAAACATCCTAAGGCATTTACGTTCCCTGGACAGGCTTGCTTAAAATCATAAGAAAGCCAATAAGTGTTTCCATCAACGGACGTGCCATATTGCCAAGCCCCTGGAAGTGACCACTCTCTAGTCTCACCAACAACCCTCCACAAATTAGAGGTAAAGTCATAGATTTCATACTTAACAAGGAATGGTGACATCCAACCATGTCCAGCATGATGCACCCTCAAGATTTTGTACTCGTTGTTGCATGAGGATTTACCGAGAGCGTAGACATCGGAACTAGATTTGGAATTTAATGGTTTGATAATATTCCTACTGGTTTCTCCTGAACATGGATTCCAAACAACTAGTCTTTCGTCCATGGTGGTGCATAGCAATAAACCATCGCAGTGACAGACGCGGCGTACGTGGATTTTTTCTGAAGAAATAGAAAGAGGATCGTTAAGACTGAACTTATTTATTACCTTTGCAAGGTTGTCGTGGAGATCAAGCCTAACTAAGTAGACTCTACAATCAATTAACATGACAACAAGAGACTTCTTCGCACGTCTCACTTCTTTTTTGATAAGAGCGTTCCATTCTTTTGATGTACATTGGAGTCGTGCCAGAGAAGTCTCTGGAACCCTAGAGAGTATCTCTACAAGCAAATCCGTAGGAAGATATATTGTGTTCTTCTTTTCTTGGTCCGTCATCACAGATCTTGGAGATGAAACCTTTGGAACCTATTGTTGTGTGTGTATGAAACCCTATAGTTTTGTGTCTTTATGAGAGAGACTCACCGACTTAAAACGCTTCTATTGTGGTGGGCTTTTTCGCCCTTGATTCATCTGAAAGTTCGGCTGATGGGCCTGCGATGCAATAAGTAGCCTATGCATTGCTCCTTGATATGAAATTTTCTCTAATACATGACACTGTTAGGCAATAGGCCAATATCTACTTGGTCTTTTATATTTGCAAATATGTTACAGGGAATGAAAAGCTGGTGGTACGTGGAAGCATAATTGAATGAAAGTGTGAAAGCGAATTTTTTTTAGAAATTTAGAAAGCTGATACGGATATCCATATATATATATATTGAAAGGGTTGGGCTCGTAACTCGTTGTGGTGGTTTGATATGCGACATGCATCTGTGTTGGGTTGGTTCTCTGCTTTGTTGTTGGCTCCTCAAATTGTTTGTGAGAAAAAAACTGAGTTGCGAATAGAATCTCCTCCTTAAAGGCATCACATACCATTTCTGCAAAGAAAAGAAAAGCTAAGCTTCTGCTTACTCTTTTAGCATGGTAGAGAGGGTCTTACACATGCATAAATAAGGGGGGTTTTACCATTTTATTCAGATTAAACTGGAAGATTTCGCAAACGAGAACCATCTTCTTGGTTTCAGGATGCTTCTCTGTGGTGCCTCCAACAAGGACAATGGACTTGTTAGCAAGCAAACTCAATATGTGAATCTGAACACGACTTCCAAACCACAACTGTCTCAGTGAGAGACATCATGTATATTAATTTCTTTCTTGGCATTGGAAAAATGAGGATCTTTGAGGGGTAAAGATGTTCAAATTTTCTATAAATTATAGTTGCTTCATTCAGATTTTAAATATTATTCTGTGAATCATATGTCTCCTTGATAACTGATCACAGACGTTGATCACTAAAAAAGGGACACAAGTCTAATTTAAAATGCTAAACATCTCTATAACCATATAAAAAGTACAATAAGTTCAATAAGGAATCAAGACTTTAACTAACTCTGGTAGTTGTTGCATTATCATTATGTTTAAGATGTTCCAGGATAATAAGAACAAAGACAATAAATATATGTTAAGCGTACGAGAGTGAGCACCATTTGTGTGAGCGTCGTAAGACAAAACTCAGTACATAAATGGAGAAAAAAAATTAGAGGAAAAACATGGGGTTTGAAAGATGGTTGGTTTGTATTTGCCAGAGAGTGAGAGATAAAAGCTACTATAATCTTGTGATTTAGTGGATGGACAAGTCAAACTTGACGCCTGTTGAAGAGGCCTAAACCTCAATATTATAACTAAAATACATTCTTCAAATCTGATATATATATTCTGGCCGGCTTATTAAGTGCTTAAGAATATAATTTTTCCTTGTAAGAAACCATCTAAAAAAAAAACTTATTCCTGTAGGTTAACAAATGTTACAAACCAGATCAACTAGTGATCTCTCAGAACATTCTCTCGTGTAATACAAAATCTCCAAAACACGACAAATCAATTCAAAGAGTGACAGAAAAGAGTGCACGGGAGTTTATTCGTCTGTACACTAAAAGAGGAAAGATCAGAGACGCTTGAGGAGATGTCTCACTCTACTCTCTCGTCTCTCCAGACAACGTACCTTCCTCTTCTTCTTCCCCATCGAACTCTTGTTCTACACCTTTCACCTGCATAAAACCCTTTCATTAGAAGAAGAGTACAGTCACACGTTCTTGAATCTTCAATCAACATTAATACAGAGGGAGGTATAGAATTAAACCATACGTAATAAGCTAACTGTTAGGAGGACTCAATGTTACCTCGGGTACGTAATGCATCAGCATGTTTTCTATTCCAGATTTCAAAGTAACAGATGAGCTTGGACATCCGCTACAAGCTCCTTGCATCCTCAGCTTCACTATTCCGCTTTCACTGTTCAAAACCCCCCACCAAAAGGATTTTACATAAATAGATAAAAAGAAAGAGAGAGAGACCATCGAGGAAGTAAACTTACGGATCAAACCCACAATACTCGATGTCCCCACCATCATCTTGGACAGCTGGTCTGATGCGCGTTTCCAAGAGTTCCTTGATCATTGCTACGGTTTCAGAGTCATCCTGAATTACGAAAAAATACAACCACACTTGTTACTCCCACAAGCAAGCTTATCTACCAAACTATAATTAACACAACATATCATATTTATGGGAGAATGGTCTCTCTCTCTCTCTCTCTCTCTCTCTCTCTTAGTAAAGTTTGTTAGGCTAAGCTACCACCTCCAGATCCTAACTCATATTTCATCAGGTCACAAAAGCAATTGGCATATTATTCCATAAACAAACTATACGTCATGTCTATATAACTTATATACATCAAACTAAAACTCTCAATCAAATGTAGAACAAATGTTAGAGAAACAATATAAAAACAGATGCCCTGGAGAACCCAGGAGCCGGTATGAAAAACTACACTCATCAGCAAAACTAACTACAGTCAAAAATGAGGAAGACGATATTAAGATCAATTAGTTGCCAGAGGTTTTCTACCTCGCTAATAGCAGTATCTTTGGCAGCAGCAGCTTGTGAGTCGAGAAACAAAGGCTGGCCAGAAGAATAGAAATCCATGACAGCTGCAAAGATCTCAGGCTTGAGGATATCCCACGATATATCATCTGATTTTGTCACAGTGACGAAATCAGACCCAAAGAAAACTCGAACCACACCTGCAAACCAAAGAAAGAACCATACCACATTGAAAGAAAGTGTCTTTCTTATTACATAAATGAGCAAATAAGATGTAATGATAACAAAAAAAATACCATCAATGGAGTAGATGGACTTGGCTAATGGAGAACCTAAAGCTGAACGAACATTAGGGAAATCAGCACTTCCAACCTCCATGACTGGCTTTCCAGGATAAAACATGAGAGAAGATGGATTCGGAGTGGTTTGTGTTTGAATAAACATCGTCCTTCTCTGCCCTGCTCAATGAGGTAACCCTAGTTAGACCCTTAAAGACTGCTTTTTATCTGAGGAGCTATTATCAAATGATGTATCGAAGAAAATGATATACGACACACAGAAAACAACATCAACAAGTCATTGACATTTCTAATGGCAATGACATCAATACACGAAAACGAATAGCAAATCCATACCTCCGAGAAAAGCCCATTTCTGAGGAAGTGAAGAAGATCTCGAAGAGGATGTGAGATCAGGTGAATTGGTTGGAAAGTGCGTTGCCGCCGAGATGAAAAGTGAGCGACGAGATACCAGAAGAGAGGAAGACGAAGAAGACGAAACCGTGCTACTTCCTCTTGAACTGATCTCGCGACCACCAAGTCGCGAAAGAGAAGTCACAATCCTCGCAATCCCTTTCATTGCTTTTTGCACCCTTTTAACAATCTCTCAATTCCCTTCCTGGCAGAAAGACAAAAAGAGCTTGGAAAGTTATTAGGGTTTCGTCCTAATCGCCAGACCGGACCGGATTAAAAAAAAAGACAGATCCTTTTGTGACGCCGTGTGAGAGTTATTGTCGGAGAGAGACTTGAATACGCGTTGTGTTTGAACTATTCATTTCATTCACCACTTGAGCATCTCTAAATGTAAAATAATTTGCTCGTTGACAGTAAAAATAATTTGACTTTTCTCAAAGAACAAGTCTTTAATATTTAGTACACAGGCCATGGATGAATAAAAAAAAAAAGCATCAGTTTTGTCACTTTTCCAACTAGTTCCTACAACTCAGAATTCGTCTCTCTTCTGTTGTGTCTGAACGGTTTGGTCTTGGCTACGTCTACTACTATCATCCATCCGTTAATAATCTGCGCCACAGAAAAATCATCAATGTCATATGAGTCAAACCTCTCTCAGATCCATGTTCAGATTTTACTTAAAAGCCTTAGCTCTACCTTTCCATTCATCTCTTTTAGTGCAACACTTGCAGCTTCCTCTGTCGTGTACTCTATGAAGGCATACCCTTTTGATCTCTTTGATATCTTGTCCATTATTATTTTTACTGCCAGATCGATGGAATTTATATATATAGGCTTGTGATTATCTCTATCTTTGTTCCCAGTGATGTTTTTTTTAATAGTAAATCAAAAAGTACCTTCCACTAGTTCACCGAATCCTTCAAATGCTGCACGCAATGTCTTCTCAGATGTGTAGAAAGACAGCCCTGAAAAGTTGAGAAAACCCAAGATACATGTTCTATCAGTAAATGTAATCCTCTGAAAAGAACTTATATCTTCAAACGCTGTAGAGAATGTGTCTCTTCACAGATTCTGCTATGTAACCAAAAGCTTACAGAAGTGTTCCCATACCAGTTATAAACAGCTTCTTCGTCTTAACAGGAGGAGCCTCTGAACTTTCACTTGAATCTTGTGTACTATTATCACCTTTTGGAAAAGGAAAGAGACACGAAACTACAACAATGTTAAAGGTTCTAGAGAGATATTGTTTTTTAAGCGTAAGATCAGTATCCAAGACAGACCTTCATAGTTTTTGTTTAGTGACTCAAAATTGTTATCAGGAACAACAGCAAGAACACCAGGTACACCTGCATCAATCAAAACGCCCATCCCTTCATCTGTTAGCTTATTTCAGAGGGAACAAAAACATTTGTTGTCTGAATCACAAACCAGCTAGCTCTTCTGCGCATTTTTCATCCAAATCACAACAAAAGCCGAATTTGGACTGCCAAGAAACATGATAAAGACACATCTGCGCATCCTTTTCACTGCAAAGAAAGAGTTACAAAAATGCTGTTAAAAATGCTGAAGGAGACAATAGCATTCCCCCCAAAGACAGAATCAATCAGAGAAACTCACTTCCACAAAACCTTGGATAACAACTGAACACAATGATCAACCATCTGTGCTTTAGTAACAATCCCAACTCCTGGCTTATCGATTCGGACCATCCAGTGTTTCACTGTCCCATGATCAAACAAGGAAACACCTGTCTGGTTCCCAATGCCATAGTTCTTATTCCCTGAACTGTAACCAGCTTCAGGTCTAACAGATAGTACTTCAGGCAAGCCTAAGTTCATAGACAAACAATTAAAACACCTAACTGACCAATAAATAAACAGCATTTGCAACATATAACACTCACTCACGAGCTGGCGTGAAGCATCTTCGTCGATATGGCAACAAAACCCGAAATGGGTACCAAAGGAAGCATCATATATACTCATCTGCGCATCCTTTTCGCTGCAAACAACATGAAAGTAAGCAAAAGTATGTCAAAGCAGAAAACACGAAAAGAAACAATTAAGAATTAGAAGCAGAAAAGAACCCAACTTGCCCAACACTTTCGCAAGAATCTCGACATAGTAATCTACAATACTGGATTTGGAAGAAACCCTTTGTGGAGGTTTATCCAAAATCACCATCCAATAGGTGTTTCGTGGGAGAAGAGTAGTAGAAGAAGACGGTGCGGAAACTGCAGAGGAGGAGTGAACGAGGTGTGATGAGAAAGAGAGATGATTCTTGCGAAAAGTTCCGAACTTTATGTTGGGAGAAGAATGAAAGAATCGGTTTTCTGAGTAAGAGTTGGAGGTGGGGAGGAGGAAGAAGGGAGCGGAAGTGATAAGTGCTTCCATGGGAACGAACTCCTTCAACCTTCTTGCTTTGTTTTCTCTACTCTTTATCGTTATTTAAACCGACAATTGAACTTTAAACCAAATCGTTATTTAAACCGACAACTGAATTTAAACCAAACCACTAATGTATAACTACTGTATGTAGTTTTGTCCGCAGCATATGCGCGGTATAAATAATCACCTTTAAATACTTATTAAAACATGTATTATAAATTTGAGTGATTTGCGTCAATATACAAGAAACGAAAGATATGTAGGTACAAAAGCGGTAAATTTTTTAATTGGGTATGGTAATAAACACGTGGTTCTGGAACTTACCACTTTGTCTCTATCACTAATATGCAAGTAAACTGAATATGTATTGGATGTCAGAGGCAAGTGACGTAGTGCTAAATTATTAACTCATATTTTATTAGATTTTTATACTACTATTAGTGCACTCCCGTGCTACGCACGGGTTAAATTTATTAGATTTCAATTAAGATATGCACAACACATAAAAACATTGTTAAGAAAAGCTATATTTAATTTTTCTCAAAAAAAAACTATATTTAATTTTCTCAAAAAATAAAATAAAAACTATGTTTGATTCATTCAATTTTTATGTATTTTGTCTTGCAAATCAATCTTGCACAGTTCAATAAAATTATGATACTTTTGTGTCGATGCTTTTGTTTTAGAATGGAAGTAATTTAAAAAAACAATAAAATTATTATAAATTATGACATTGCAAAAACCAACTATTAGATATAATATCAATATTTTGATGCTACAAAAAAAACACGGGATGAGATATTTCTTCACTACTTTATGGCATTCATCTTCTAAACTCCCCAAATCCTTAAACTTCTTACTTTTCTAATAACAAATTAATATCTCAAACTTCTTACTTTTCTAATTTATCCCACAATTAATAATTTAAATTTATTTTTATTGGTGCATGGTAAGTTGAGAAAAGTTATGCATTATTTTGTGGGATAAAAAACGTGGGTAGTTACTTTGTATTTATCTCCTTTTACTGTTAAATTAATTTAATAGGAGTTTGTATTTATCTATGATTTATTATGTCAAATCTAGTATAATTACTTAGGTTTTGTTATAGATGAACGTGAGTGGGTAGTTAATATATACTAACATATATTATGAGTTTTAACTTCCTATGAAGCTATTTGAAAATAACCGGCACTGTTTTAAAATTAATCGAACATGAACATAGATTTCTTAAGAAAAAAAGAAAATCACTTATAATTGACACGATTTCAAAATTAGATATGTTCATGGATTTCACAGTATTTTTATCTCAAGCTTCACCCTCTACTTACCTTTATCTCATGGTTTGTCTTGTCGACTATTTGTCAATTTTGAGATGGTTGAGCAGAGTTGCAGGTCTTGTCATCTTCTTTAACATTTGTCCTCTCCTACAACAACAATTGAGAGAACAGATTCAACAATATGTAATGGAATCTTTTAAAAAATATAACTGAGAGGAACAGATTCAGAACTTGGGATAAGATTGATGACGTAAACTTTATATTGTGTTGCAGGAAACATACGACTGATAACAATGAAACACTTACTTCTTCCTTTGAATACGTGAAACAGTTCTTTATTTTGATAATTCAGCAACAAACGAAAAGTGAAAAAATTATAGAAGCTAGGTATAAACTTTGTTTGTCAAAGAGACACAATATAGAGTAGGTTTGCAACTTATATAGGAGATGAAGAATACAGTTTCAAAATATGCAAGTTAACGTGGGTTTAGATTTCTGAGAAAAAATAGGAACATGGTTAGTTGGAAATTTGGATTGCAGAAAAATAGGATTAAAAAAGAAATTCAATTGTTTTCATTTTCTATTGTTTTGTAAAAAAAATCCACGTGTCAATAATTGATTTGCTAGGCGACTTCCGCTTTAGTATATAAAGGATTAATCTGGATATTTTTTTTAAAGGATCAATTCTGCATCATCATCATCAGCAAATTTTAATCCACAGCACACGTCCATCTGTCGGATCAATTCTCCACCATCATCATCAAAAGGAATAAACCGATCATTAATGAATCTTTCTCACGATCGAAATACCCAGAAAATCTCATATTTAAGTCATTTTCAGACAATAAGAGAGTTATGTCAAACAGATTTTAAAGAGAATCAATAAAGAGGAAATTGTGTAGACACTACTTACAAAAATAGAAATGAAAAATTTTAAATTAAAAAAAACTATCTTAATCAGATTTATTCTAACAGGAACACACCAAAATCAAACATGTAATAGATCAGAAGAAGAAGAAAAAACACTGCTGGATCTTGATGCATGTTACTCCACAGAGATGACACCGACGCATAAACTGAGAAGATCGAAAAACAAAAAAACAAAATTTTCAATTATCAGCAAGTTATCACCTTTTGATTTTCTATCTAAGTTCAATAGGAAACAAGCGACCACATCTTGCCAGAGACTTTTCGATAGTTTAACAAAAATCAGGTACATTTAGAAAAATAAAGAGTGTTATAAAGCAAGTGAGAAGGAAACAATTATTTTCCCGAGAATATCTAGGAAAGAAAAAAACTGGAGAAATGATTTAAAGAGAAGAAGAATAAGAAATGGAAAGTGGAGTAGAGATAGAAAATTTAGAGATCTTGAATCTGGAAAAAGTGGAGTAGAAGAGAGAGATCGATGAAAGAGAGAGAGCTTAATAGTAGGGACATCATGGGAATTTTTGAAATAGAAACAATTCACATACCACATAGCTAAATAATTTTTATTCTATGTATATAGGATGCAATTACTCTATAAATTTTGTGTTAAAAAAAAACATGTATTATTAAATTAAAAATTTAACATTATAAATTATTGTTCTTGTTCTTAAGAAGTTTAGTAGAAAATCTAATCATTTATACATAACAAAAATTTTCATCAAAAATATATGTTTGTTACTGTTATTTTTATGCGTTAAAATTCATATATTATGTTTTATGTCATCATGTTTTTCAATTATTATTATTTTTTCTTGATTAGTATTAATTATGCATCATTATATTTTATTACAAATATTAGTTTGGATATAAACATAATATATAAAATTTACCTTATTATTTTTAAAATATGTTTTTATTTTTAGCAAATTTTATTATAATAATATTATGATCAATTATATAATCTAACATATAATTCTACTATTATTAATACAAATTTAATTTTTAGTTATTTAATAGATTATATATTAAAATTCATTAAGGATAACAAAGATATTAATAACATGAATTTGGTACTTTGGTTGCAAAATAATTGATTAATAGATAAATTTTACGTAGATTTCGAATAATTGTTAGATGATAATCTTGTACAAAATAATTAATTACTGCATAGTGATTTGTGAAATATTCGATAAAACTAACATATATGTTATTCAAACATCAATTATGAAATTTTCAGATTTTTTATCTGTTTTATGCTTTTTTTTCTAAATTTTCATTGATATAAATTTGGAAACACCAATCTAGTCCGGCGTATTTTTATACGATTTGGTAACATATCCAAGTAGTTTACGGAAGATTGAACTGTAACCGGTTTTTACGACATGAGTCCGACGGTTTGACAGAAAACCGGGAATCTTTCTGTTATAACCAAAAAACATTGGATCTGTAAAGAAAAAAATCGAAAAAAAAAAACAAAATTCTTCGTCTCGGAAAGAAGAGACGATGAAGAAGCCGGCAGGAACCGAGAAGAAGAGAGTTAAACGATCATCAGGATCCGCATCCTCCACCGCTAGAGATTCCGGTTCCGATCCTCCACCCAGGGTTTGCTGTTCTCTTCTCTCATTTTACGCTAATCACTTTCAGACAAAATGTTGTGTTTAGGTTACGTCTCCTTTTCGTTTGATCTGTTTCAGCCTCTGATGGAGAATAAATCTGTGACTATATAAAATAAAATTTGATTACTGTTTGCTAAATTGTTTGTAAATGCACAGATATGTGTGTATACACAGCTTTGTTCTTGTGTAATGTAATGTGTGGAATGTTATATTGCTGCACAATTGTATGTAAATGCACATACTCTTAAGCGTTGTGAGATGTAAATAACATAGTCTGGTAAATATTGTATTGTTGAAAGTTTGAGTCTTTGGCCTTTGTAATGTGAATTTGATTCTTTTGTTTTGTTGTGATTTACTAGAATAAAGGTGTGAAGAAGGATGTGTTTCAGTTGTTTGCTGAGAAAGTTAGAGACAACAAGGGGTTGGAATCAAGATGGGCTGTTATGGAGGAAGCACGTGTCGAATATTTCAGAGGGAAAGATTTCGTGAGCTTCTTGAAGAATCACCCCGAGTGCAAAGAGATTCTTGAAGAAGATAAAGACCTAGATGCTGAAGATATCGCCAATGTGTTATTGGGAAAGAACCTTTTGGTCCGTTGTGATCGTGTCACTAAAACAGTTCGTCCCGGGAAGAAAAAGCTGTCTACTTGGCCTGCCCATCTTGAGATTTTCCGTGTAAGTTTTACTTGGTGTTGGTTCATATGCTAAGCTGTTCTGATATATATGTATTCAATAGCTCATGTGTTTATTATTTTTAATCTTTCTAATGCGCAGGAAAATCAAGGTTTCTCTGAAGCTGATGCGTTTTTTGCATGGACGTTTGAGAAAAGGCATCCACTCTGGCAAACGCTTTTGTCCTTCTTCTGGCCTGTATTGACCCTCGCTATTTGTTTGTTCCCTGTGTATCCACACCGTTGCAAACTCATTGTTCTTTATTCATGTGCCGGCATTCTTTTGATGATTCTCTCCTTGCTTTTCGGTAAGAAGCTCGTCATATTTAATCTCTTTTAATATGCTCGTCTTCTGTAATTTTCACCTTAAAAGTCACAGATCACTGCTAAGTAATATTTACTGGCTATAGATGCCTAACCTATCATGTTCACGGAGAGTGGTGATATAAAGTTTTAACTTGGATTTATACTGAAAAATTATGCTTTTCTTGATTACCTGAATGTTGCAGTGAGAGCAGTTGCTTTTGGTGCTATGTGGATTCTTCTTGGAAAGCGTGTCTGGTTCTTCCCAAACATTCTTGCAGAGGAAGCAACATTGAAGGAACTGTTCCGTTTCTGGCCAAAGAAAGACGAGGAAGAACCTCCCAAGTGGACATCTCGACTTTTCTACACAGTTGTGGCTGTTGTTGTTGTCATGCTTCTCAGGCGCCATGCCCCTGACGAGGCTGCCAGGGCCAGGTTTGTAACTTAAACCAAGACAACTACACTTGATTCCTTCCTCAAGAAAACATCGTTATCTTTAGTTGCTATTGTTAGACTGACTTGTGATGACTTTGTGTGCATGCAGGTACCAAAGAAGGATGTCCAACATCATTGATGATGTTCTTGAGTGGTCACCAAAGCTAGCACTCTCTGGTTTGATGGAGAATCAGCCACCGGTGAACATCACAGAGGCGGCTAACAACTCCTCAGATGCAGCAGGTCCCGACCATGCTGAAGATGCTGACCTAGACGAAACTCAAGCCGAGGAGGAAGCTGAAGACTGGACCAACTCGGATATAAAAACATAAAAAAATATATAGAAACGAAAGTTCATTGTAACAATAAGTCAGCCTATGTGACCAAAACGAAGTTTAGCACTTATAAGTCTCGAAAGATTTTGTGGGTATTACACTACTCTTTTTAGTTTGCACAATTTGGAAGTTAGTTATTTAATCACACAGTTTTAGATTCAAAGCTTGAAGTCTCGGATTAAACCTACATGTTTACTAAAGAGAGTTGACAAAGGAAAGTAGATTTGACATATCCCAAACCGCAAAAAAGGAAAGAAAAAAAAACAGAAGTACAGTATTTGTACATAGACTCTTCATGGCTGCTACCAAATAAGCCAACAAAGAGAAAGCCAAGAATGAATTGCCAGTGGAGAGGTCATTTGATGGCTAGACGAGCTTGAGAAGGATGGTTTGAGGAAATGCTGTTCCATTGTTGCCCTGAACAGTCTGCTTCTTCCCTTCTTTTAGAAGCTGAGCTTTGCATCTCCTCGGATTTTGTTCTATGCTCATCATTCCAAGCTTCAGGTTGATCAGAACTAGATGACGCTGGGGACTGAGTACGACAACCATTGCTCTTTTCTCCATCTTTTTTTTGTGAAGCTTCTGTGTTCGTTTTCTTTGCAAACCGTCCTCCAATGCCCCTAGGCCTCCTCATAGCATGCTGATGCCGAGATTCATGTAGATAAGGCTGTGTAGCACGCATCCAAAGAAAATGAAAAGATGATGAGTTAATATTTAGATCAGAGCTTAATATTCATGGTAAATACAGTTCACCTTTCTGGATTTGATAAGCTTCATCTCTAGCTCAGCCTTGGCGCGTGCCTGCCTTCGCCTAAGAATCGCCTGGTACTGTTTAGCATTCACATAAACTGGTTCCTGTGCCACCTCAGGAGGCAGTGGCATTCTTGAATGAGGCATCCCACCATATGGAACATAAGCCTAATAGAGGAGGAAGTAACAGCTTATCATAAAGTCGCATGGACAGCATAAATCAAAACTAACTAACTAAATGCATCTTCTTGTTTATTTGTAACAAATTCATTACACACCAACCATGAACACTGCTAAAGTTTAGCACCTACGATTAGTAGAATAATTTAAAAAGTAATCTAATGTCTCACAACCTAATAGCAGACAAGAATCTTGGCAGAGACGTACCATCCCCAAATAGTCTTAACATTAAAAATAAAAAATAGTTGGGGGGATTAAGCAAAGCATCATAAATACAAGGGAAATAAAGTCAGATACCAAGGGATAGGTAGCCATCATTCCAGCATAATAAGGATCGTGGTATGGATTTGAGGATGTCCATCCCTGCATGATCCATAACCAAAAAAAAAAAAACATAACCGTAAGCAACACAGGTAAAGAAAACTATATCCAAAGAATAGACAATCTATCAGCTTTACACAACTGTGTGGCTAACAAGTTGAGGGTGAGGAGGTCCTGTAACAAGTTCTTGACTTTTTTCACTGTAATCTCCATCTGCATGTCGAAAATACAGAAACAAAACTTGTTAGCATATCCACAAATCTTAAGCAACAGAGAGAGAAGAGCAGTCAATGCACACCTGATTGTTGGGGAGAGGTTGTGACTTGTGGTGGTGATTCCTTGTTACCATTTTCATCTCTATTAGATGGCGACTTCGAACCATTAGTTGATTCCAATGCTCTCGACTTCTCTACAGATTCCTCTCGATTACAAGAACTTGCATTGCAGGCAGCAGCAGCACGTTGCCAAGGGTTCAAACTGTTAATGGAGGAAGATGAATTATGATGATGAACCACCTCTGAAACAATCTGATTCCCACCGTCAGATTTTGAATGCATGTCTTCAGTTTCCTACTCAAAATCTGATTGTTAGTGATGAAACATCAACTACACAGAGTAAAAGTCAATACGGATTCACAATTTTCAACTTCACGAAACGAGTAAGCAAGCAAAAACCCAGAAATAATCAATGATTGAATTCACCAAATTGGATGAAATTTCAAAGCTTTTAAAGGAAGAAGAAGAGACAGAGCAAAAACCTAAGAACAACAAAAGGGTATAAGCAGCTCATGCAATCGACAAAAGGATTGATGATTATTGGGAATTTTCAACATACCATTCGATCGAAGAGAGAAGAGACCGTCTCCGAGGCGTTAGTCTAACGAGTGATTGGAAGAGACGAAGAGGAACGATCTGAGGAGGAAGAAGAAGAAGAAGAAAAAATACAATTTTTATGGAATTGAAATGAATTAATTATTTTTGTTTGATCGTCGTAGGAAGTTGTACATCAGGTTTTGTTCCATTTTGAATCTTTGTTGCCACGTGCTCGCCACATGGACGGCGGCAACACTACTACTTTTTGACTTTCATTTGTGGATAAATGTTGAATCTGTTGTGGAATAAATGAGTTGTTGTAACTTTGTATATCTTATTAATCTCGTGGTACATACACATATATATATATACATGAGAATAAAGCATATTCCTTAGGAGATAAGGATTACAACAATAAAGGGGATGATTATCCTAATCCTATAATGATTAGGATAACTACAACATATGGATAAATACAAGGGAGGATAGTGACTGATGCTTGGCCGCCTGATATGGATACTGAAGTGGGACTGATGTGGTCTGGTCCATTTCCCGGATATGTCCCAACCACCATCTTCATTTCTTAACACTCCCCCTTGGTTGATATATCCGTTCAAAGTTCATTTCATGCTTTGGATGTTGCCTCATTAAAACCTCTCCTGGTAAAACCCAAAACCCAATGTGGTAAAAAGGGAAAACCAAGGACAGGACAAAAGAGTACAACACATGAAACTCCCCCTGATGAATACAC